CACCATGTGTGGTTGTAAGGAACTATTTTTCGCACCATGTGTGGTTGTAAGGAACTATTTTTCGCACCATGTGTGGTTGTAAGGAACTATTTTCTGCACCATGTATGGTTGTAAGGAACTATTTTCCGCACCATGTATGGTTGTAAGGAACTATTTTCCGCACCAATTCATATTAATAAATAAGATAAAGTGATTGAATATTTCAAGTGATTTTTCACTTTTTAATATATTTTGAAGGAAAACTTGGTTGCATTTTTCTGTGAGAACACCTGTCTTTTGTTTTTTGTGTGTGTCTAAATAGATGAATGTCTGCGGACTTACAACGCTAGAATCCGGGTTTCGATACCCGTGGTGGGCAGAGCACAGATAACCCATTGTGTAGCTTTGTGCTTAATTACAAACAAACAAACTAAATAGAGAAAGGAGCAGAAAGCTAAGACCAAGGATTTATTCAAATAAAAACTCTAAAAATATGTTATTTGGAAACATAAACTATTATCAAAAATCCACTTTCAGTTGCTACTGAAAACATACATTTGTTTGTTTCATGGGTTTTGGTTTCCTTTTGTTTGTCATATGCTCAGGGTGAGATGATCAGTTATTTGTTTTACCTTGCTACCTAGCTTTTTCCGGATTCAATAAAAAAAATAAAAGAGAGAGAGAGAGAGAAAAAGAAAAACTTGTCTTTAATATTTGTTCTCTAAACATGTACTGAATGTAAGCCTAACTATAAATACTCTCTTTGTGCTTCGACTGAAACCCTGTCTTATTTCACGCTAGAAAGGCGAAAGGTTATAGATAGGTGGCGTACCGATCTGTCATGTTGACAGACTAAATCAAACAAAAGTGAAGTGTGCAGGAAATGCCTAGTTGTGCGTGAAGTTTGTGAAGTAAGTCTTAGAGGACTAATCCAGAAAGGTAGCACAGTTGGACAAGACCACGTTTCGTCACGTTTACAGATTCTTTGAAAAGGTGGCACACAGATCTGTCCTGTTTACAGAGTAGCAGCCCCTCCCCTCGAGTGCAACACCGTGATTTCTGGCAAGACAGATATATACAATATAAAACTGGACCAAGATCACGTTAACAACTGTCAGATGGTATTTCAGAAGTAAAATATGTTAGGAAGACTTTTGGGAATGTCTTAACGAATCTGTTTCTTATAGTACAGCAGAACTAGATATCACGTGACTAAGAACCTACCAAGCTTTCGTATAAACATCTTGGTATTATTACAACTAGGACCACGTGACATTATTCTCACTAGAACCACGTGACATTATTCTCGTTAGAACCACGTGACATTATTCTCACTAGAACCACGTGACATTATTCTCACTAGAACCACGTGACATTATTCTCACTAGAACCACGTGATATTATTCTCGTTAGAACCAATCAATCAGTCCATTATCCAACAACCCATCAATCTGGGTATACACTGGAAAAACGGTTAGTCAGCCCATACACTCAACAACCAATCAATCAAATCATCTACCCCTTTATCAGTTCCCCTAGCAATTGACTCTTCCCCCTCCTCCAAAACCTAGAACTAACTAACCAATCAGACTGTTAGTTGACGCGTGTTCTACTCGTTACGCACGTGGCATGTAGACGTAAATAGAGAAAAATATTGCAGCTTAATTAGTGACAAACGTGGCAGATTTCAGGTTTAACCATGCTTATATTATTCAAATCCGAAAGTTTAAAATTTATGGCAAGAAACTTAATTCGTGATACAAGAGGCGTAAATCCTGGTAGAATGGTCATTATTATGTAAAATGCAACCGAAGTACACTAAATAACGTTTATGAGATTTCAAGAAAATTTTGTATTGATCACATAAATAATATAAAATGTGAGAAAATCTTAAATTAACGATATCAATAATATAAGTACAGCTGACCTGTCCAGATGTTTAATGGTTTCCCTCTTTCGGGTAATTATTTCATTTCATTATCATACTTTGATTGAATTCATGAAGTAGAAACAAGCGTAATTTCCTTTTTTGAATAATCAACACAATTAAAAAATATATATTCATAATGAAGAAAACCACGTTTTTAACTAGTATTATCAATCAATTTTGATTTTAATTTCGTAAAAGTTTAATAGTGAGTATTAATTGAAGAAACGTCACCACTAATAGATAAAATTTTGCAAGAAAATTACTAATTCAAAGACTAATTATTAATGATTTTAGTTTATAAAACAAGTGATTCTGTAGGCTTAGCTAAGCATAAATTATAAGCTAACAAATTAGTTTATAAAACAAGTGATTCTATAGGCTTAGCTAAGCATAAATTACAAGCTAACAAATTAGTTTATAAAACAAGTGATTCTATAGGCTTAGCTAAGTATAAATTATAACCTAACAAATTGTTTTAAAGCAGACTAACTGATGTTATACATATTTATAACTTTTACCTATTTTTCCATGCTCGGAATGTTATCTTTATTTTGAGAAAAACCAAAAAAAAAACCTTTCATTTATAAATAGAAATATTTTAAATATACTAGTATTTTACCGATGGCGGCAAGGGCTTGAATTTCATTTGGACAACTTTTCCGAGAACTACTAACCACTGTTTGCAGAATCAATTTTTTTACTCTTTTTAAAGATATGATTGATTATACATATCTAATTAAATAAATCAAAATCAGTTCGACAAATTCAACCAATTTTAATGCTTCGGGAATGTTAGCTAAGCCTAAATTCTACAAGTTTAATCGCCTTAGGAAAGCCATATAAAAAGCTATAAAGTTCTAAACGTTAAATACTTTCATTAGTTTTACCGAGTTTTTGTTATCTTCATTTATAGAGATAAAAGACACTGCTTTTTTTCTAACAGTTACGTATATTTTAATATAAAAAAATGCTAAACATGAACAGACATAACTTTTTTTTCCTTTTGGTTTTTGTGTTTCACTTATCAGGAAGTTGTTTGTGGTAGGATTTCCGGACAAAAAACCGGAATTAAACATTGGGTTTACAAGCTTGCTCAAACAGTTTTTCTTCTGTTCTTATGGCCAAAACAGTTTCGCCTGTGTACTGAGATTCCAGAAGGCCCTTGTCTCGTGTTCTGTACATGGTATCACGTTATGCTTTGTAAGTACTAACCTTTAACAGGGCGAGCAAGCTCTGTAAATATAAACTGATTTCCTGTATGACAGGACGTGGGATCTGTTACTCATCACTTAAGCGCTCGCCTGAGGGCGTTGCGGGTAGTTTTTCTAGCTTAGCCTATATAAAAAGTTTATTTCTTTGTTTCAGAAGTTTCGTGCAAACTACACAACTGCTATTTGCGCGTGACTCTAGTTTGTTTGTTTGTGTTGGCACAAACCAACACAATAGTATATCTACGCTTTGTCAACCATGGGAAATCAAACCTTCGACTTTTGTGTTATATATATATATAGGATATTAAATATTACAGCCTGTACCCTGGCCCTTGGGATCTTTTTAATATATGCAGCGTTTTAAATTTAATTTTTGTTTGTTTGGGCTTGTTTTGTTCATTTAAATGTCATTTATCACAGGTCTGAATTTGTTGTTTTAACGCAGTCCTTCCTTACAGGTCTGGATTTGTTGTTTTTAACGCAGTCCTTCCTTATAGGTCTGGATTTGTTGTTTTTAACGCAGTCCTTCCTTATAGGTCTGGATTTGTTGTTTTTAACGCAGTCCTTCCTTTCGACAGTATTTTACTTGACATTTTAAGCATTAATTTTCTAGATGATTCCAGGGATTATCTCCAGATTATACAATATATCCAGATTATAAATTATCTCCAGATTATACTTTATCTCCAGATTATAAATTATCTCCAGATTATACTTTATCTCCAGATTATAAATTATCTCCAGATTATACTTTATCTCCAGATTATAAATTATCTCCAGATTATAGATTATCTCCAGATTATACTTAATCTCAAGATTATAAATTATCGCCAGATTATAGATTATCTCCAGATATACATTATCTCCAGATTATACTTTATCTCCAGATTATACTTTATCTCCAGATTATAAATTATCTCCAGATATACATTATCTCCAGATTATAAATTATCTCCAGATATACATTATCTCCAGATTATACTTTATCTCCATATTATAAATTATCTCCAGATTATACTTTATCTCCAGATTATAAATTATCTCCAGATATACATTATCTCCAGATTATAAATTATCTCCAGAT